AGCTTCAGCGAACCGGGATTGTTCCATGAAGACTTCTGTATACTGACAAACTGACATGTTTCCTTGTTCTAGACGAAGGAAATCATCTTCCAACTTTCGTACTGCAGCTTCAGGACAATACTGCATTTTAAACTTAACCACAAATTCTTCCCACAACATGGTTTTCAGAATATTCGGATCTGAACTGGACAGAACTTTCCACCAATACAAAGCACTTGATCTTAAATAAGATACAGCAAACATGACTTTGTCCTCTTCAGCACTTTTACTGATTTGCAGACTCAGTTCTATTTCTTTAAGCCAACACATGGCTTTAACAAGATCACGCTCACCAGAAAACTTGGGAGGTTTACATGCAAGAAACATCTTAATATCTCCTCCTTTCTGTACTGAAGACGAAGTAAGGGGTACAGATGTACCGGTGACCGGTGTACTAGCTCCGGCTTCCTCCTGATAATCGGGATTTCTTACCGCTTCTGGATTATTTTGGGCTGTACGCCCCAACAAATTCACCAAACTTTCTTGGAACTTTCCCAACTCTGCTGCCAACATTTCCTGGGTAATAAATCTGGGATCAGGAACATTGTGTCCACCCCTTACCCTTCCTCTTCCATGACCAGACATTGAACTTTCTTGAGCCGACAATTCCTATTCTTGTCTAGTACCTCTACCTCTTCCTTGACCCCTGCTATGACTTCGCGTTTCTATTGTCATCACATTTTCCAGGTCCTCTCCTTGTGTTACGTTTCTTCTTCCCCAACCTCTTCCATAACCAGTAGAAGTTCTTTCTGATTGAATGGGATTATCTGCCATTTCTCAGTGTATAACTCTTTTTGTCATATTTAAACACACATGATTATTTTTCATAATCAAAATATAATAACATATTCATCCTCAAGTCTATCCATAACTCAGATTATATTAATCATATATAATTTATCTTTCTCATGATAGGTTCAACTATAACATATTCCCCATATTCATAGACCCAGTGAAGCCTATTATCATAATTTTCCACACCTCTAGTTTAAGTCTAAGTATTTCGCAAATACCCAGATCCCTTAAACTAAGGCTCTGATACCAACTGTAACATCCCTCAATTTCCATATACAGATAATCCACATACATATACTCATAAAACTAAAAATAGTATTGTTACAAAACATGGACTAACAAAATACTTTCTTGAATACATTTATGAGTAAACAAATGTCATCAACACTAAACTTTTCTCTTTCCTTTATCCTGCGAGGTATGATGACCTGCAAAACCGGTTAGTCCAACAACTGAGCGTTAGACCCAAAAGGTCTAGTGAGTGTATATAACTTATACCAATAACATACTTTCTAAACTAGCAGTTTAGAATCAAACCTATACATCACAAACATTAGAATCATACCAATAACATACTTTCTCGCGGTTACACCGCCATTTCATCTCTCTCGCGGTTACACCGCCATTACATCTCTCTCGCGGTTACACCGCCATTTCATCTCTCTCGCGGNCTCTCTCGCGGTTACACCGCCATTTCATCTCTCTCGCGGTTACACCGCCATTACATCTCTCTCGCGGTTACACCGCCATTTCATCTCTCTCACGGTTACACCGCCATTTTATCTCTCTCGCGGTTACACCGTCATTTCATCTCTCTCTTGTGGTTACACAACTTTAATTAAATTTAGCCGGATAAAGAATCCGGTCATCATTGTCCGGAGATCTAATCCGGACAACCACTTAGAATAAAAAGAGAGTAATCTGGACATTACTTGAGCGATTTAGCCAAGTCTGGACAACTCATGGCCGGTTTAAGGGAAATATGATTGCCTCTTAAGCGGTTTAAGGCGAATTCGGTTGCCTCTTGAGCGGTTTAGGTATAACCCCGATCAATACCTGTCCGGTTTAGGGAATATCCGGTCACCCTTTGTCCGATTTAAGGAGAACTCCAGACACTCCTTGTCCGGTTTAAGGACTTAACAAAATGTTTATAAAATGCAGTTCATAAATAGCAGATTCTAGCAATAAAAAAAAGTAATAACTAATACTTTAAAGCAGTATACACTCACCTTAAAATTGATGAACGGATTTGAGCCTGTGATTTACTCTCTCAAAATTTATAGAAAATCTTCTAAAAACCAACCCCTTCCGTTTTTACATACACTTGCTATTTATAGCAAGTGTATGGCCACTTTTTAACAAAAGTCGGCTAACACCTCTCACTCACACAATCATATATATATATATATATATATATATATAAATTCCAAAATCTTAATTCAAAACTTATAACTCGAATATTTCATTATGATTGATCATCATAAAAAAATTTATCATTTTCTCTTCGACACGAACATGTCTACTGTCTTTCACCCTATTTATCTAAAATGATTGCATAACAATATACATTCTTCACGTGAAAGGCACATCAACTCTTGACATTGCGTACTAGGTCTAGTTAATAGCTCTTGGGTATACGCATATCCACTCAGTGCCGAAGTCTTATCGGACATTCTTTCTATTTTTTCTGAAGCATTTCTCCGTTGTTTTATATATATATATATATATATATATATATATATATTAGGACTACGATTATCATTTCTTCCTCAAAAGTCAACATATCTATTCAAATAAAAAGACATATCATAAATAAATAAATAAATATTATAAATCCAAAACCAATGCATAAAATAAACATGCTTATCATAAATCCAAAGCCACATATATATCATAAATTGTCACTAAAAACATCATATGTCCAAAAAATGTGGCACCAAATTGTCATCCAAAAACATCACAAATTACTAACATAAAAGTCTACTTCACAAGTCATTAAACACCAAAAAAGTTTGGCACCAATCCTTACCGATATCTTTGTTTCACCCCAGCTTTTCTCACCCATTCTTTGGAATTTCGGACGATATTTTCATCCAAGCTTCCCTATTACGTTTGTCCGTAAAAAGAGAAAAGACAATACGGTACAAGGGATCATCTTTTTCCCATCCAAGATCGTTCAATTTTTTTTTGGCATGTGTCATAACTAACAAGCTCGGGGTTCCCATATTTTGACGCCATAATATCTAAAAACTTTATAAGCTTTTTGAAGCTCGTCAAGCTTCGAATTAGCTTTTGTAGTCCTTTTACCCTTTTGTTTCTCAGTCGGAGCACGGGATGAACAAGTTGTTGAAGACATGGGAGCTTAATCACTTGATACATTGATCTCTTCCTCAATGACCACAAAAGGCTCGGTGGTTGGCAAATGGTCTTTTGATGACGGTCCATGGCCTCCAATACCCGTGGACATGCCACCCTCAAATAGTCGTGCACACAAGTTGGGATATGGAAGACTTGTAGTCCTCAAGGTTTCAACATACTTAGTGGTTTGTGTTAATGAAACATTTATAAATATAAAAACAAAATAAAAAAGAATCGAAATAGAACATATTCTAAAGTTAGAAAACGACCTCCATCTCCAATTCCTATTCATTGGGAGTCAAGTTAAAAGTGTTTGTGAAGGATCATAAACATTGTCGATTTTATTTTTTAACTTTAACCAAGCACCATATTTTCCTTTCAAGTAATCGAAATGATTTCGCATTTGCTTTCAAATGACAATAAAGTTATGTGTGTTTTTCAAAGTCTTGACAACTTTCTTTCACGAAAGTGTCTTCAAGCTAGCACCCTCATTTCCATTCAACCCAACTTCTATAATACAACTTTCTAAGAAAATTTTCACAATAGTGGGATCCCTCCAACTAATTCTAACCCCTTTTTGTTGTTGTGTTTCACCCGTTTATTCCATACCTAAAACAAAGATGTGATGATAATATTCTATAACAAACGTTCGAGCTATTAAACAAAGAAAAAGCAAAATCATAATGGAAAAGGATAAGAACTATATTGTTAAATAAATAACACAAAGAAAATACATCAACATTTTAGATTTTTTTTTTTGGAAAAAACATGCTATTAATCTGTGGAATATTTGAACAACAAGAAATCAAGTGAATAATCAAACAACAAGAAATTGAGCGAATAATAAACAAGAACATTCATCTGTGCAATATTCAAGCGAAGAATATGTGCAATATTCGAGCGAAGAATATGTGCAATATTCGAGCCAAGAATATATGCAATATTCGAGCAAAGAATATGTGCAATATTCGAGTGAAAAATCAATTGAAGGAAAAATCGAACAACAATCGAACTAAGAAAAATCGAACAACAACAAATTGAACAACAAAAAAATCGTTGAAGGAAAATTACAATTGAACCAACAAAATCGACCAGCAAGAATGAATCGTGAGTTTTGGCGAGCGTCTAGGGTTTTTTCAAGGTTTTAAGCGTGTTATTTAGTAGGAGGGGTAGGCTGGTCATTTTTTTGGGTTGAACGTGGACAAGAGTGGTAATCCATCTGAACAAATAAGTCAAGTTCTGTCCGAATAAGCCATAAGTAAATATCATATTTTGGTTGTACGAATAAGCTCCTTTGCCCATTGAGCCCATTAAGTCATATGTAAGCACCCCCTTAATTAAATCTTCCAATATATACCTTTAGAAAAACTTTTTCCAAAATGTTTTCTTCAAATACCTTTTTAGTAATGTTTTAAAACCGTCAGTGATACATATCTGTAAGGATTGTTTTTTTTTAAGTAGACAACCCTTAAGGAAACTTTAAAAACGTACCTAAAAGCTAAGAAAACCATCTTTAAAAGTTGACTTTAATTTACCCTTCCACAAGCGTCAAAAACTTTTAGTTATCGTTTGAAGGAAACGAAATAATATCATCTAAAACCATTAAAGAAATTTTCCGTACTTTTGGGTATATAAGGTTGCTTTTAGTATAAGAGACATGATGTGATAGAACAGGACAAAACTTATTGTCTCACGTTTGGTATGACATGAGATAAGACAATAACTCACTGTTCCACGTTTAGAACAAAAGTTGTTTATCTAAAGTAATTTTTGTTGTAACATAAAAGGTTGCCACAATGGGTAATCTACATGATTAATGTGTATACTCCACTTTATTGAATTGATTAACAACTCAATCATAGAGATTTTGAGCTAATCAAGTGAAGAAAAAAAAAGAACTTCTAAAGTGCAAATCATCACCCGTCGTACAAAATTCATATTTGTTAATGAGTTCCACTTGTTAGTAACAAGTAGCGACATTAACAAAATCAACCATATAAAGCCCCCAAACCAACACCATAGAAGCAAACACGAATACAACTGGACTGAACAACCAAAATAGCAATGGAAATGTTATGCAAAGCATCCGATTCCCAAAAATTGCTAAAATAAACCCTCTTTCCAAAATATCCCTGGTGTATTTACGAGATGTTGATGGCGATGGTGAGGCGACTCCTTCGGCATCCGGTTCAGCTCCCAATGCATAAATCAGGTAATTTGCATCAATCAAACTTGCAACGGCCATCGAGCTGCAGAGAAAGCTAGTTAACAAGAAGAGGAATGCCGAACCATATTTGAGGAAAAGGACTTTGGTCGTATGTAATCCGAAAAATGAACTGGTGAAGAGATTTTTCGCACTATACGTGTTGTTGATCAAAGCAGCCAACGCCACCGTTATAATGGATGTTACCATAGCAACTAGTATAGAACTCATCAACGTGTTTCTTAAACTTTGTACCGCTAACGTACCTTGCTTATCATCTCCCTGCTCAAAAAGACATAAAATAACCAATCAAAAAAATAACTACGAAGTTTTAAAATAGAATCATAAAAAAACCCATATAGATTCATGTCAAGATTTGGTTTTTCTTGATCTAAAAAAAACCGCTATCCAGATTTAGGTTTTCTTGATTCAAGATCTTTTTCTTGAATCAAACAAAACTCACGTTTGGATAAAGGTTTTCCTTAATTTGATCAAAAAATCCCCATTTAAACTCAGGTTTTTTTTTATTCAATCAAAACCCTCGTCAAGATTTGGGGTTTTCGAACAAAAAACACATAATCGATGCCTGTTTCATGTCTTTTAGCCAATGTTTTCGCTTGATCGATTCGATGCCGATTGTGGTGCAAGATGGTTTGGTTTTGAATTGGTACCAAAGATAGCCATGGTAACCAAATGTGATGAAGAAGCTTAATGGAACTAAAATGGTGTCTAAATAATGAAGAACTCCCATTTTCCCAAGAACAAGAAAGATTGGTGAATGATTTGGGGTTGAAATGAATGAATTTATTGATGGTGAAGATGGAAACAAACTCCCAATTTGTTGAAGGTGAATTGGATTCATTATGTTATCTTTTGAATGATAGTGGGGTTGTTGCCATCAAAAGTGAGATAAAAGGAAAGAATTATTTGATTGGAATTATTCTTATTTTATTTTGATTTATGTTATCTTTTTGGTATCAGATGTGTATTGATAACTGAATTAATCATATATGTACTATGTTTGTAAATCAAATGCAATGTCTATGTTTAAAATATGTAGTATATATTATTCATAGTTATATATAATGTATATTCACATATGAATATACTTATATATATTGATATGTTTATAAACTAAAAAAATATAAAAGATATATTTATTTATATAATTTGTTTAATGAAATAAGTAGGGGTCAGTTTACATTAGAAGATTAAATATTGGGAGAATGTAAGAAATCAAAAGATTAAAGAAATGTTCATATGTGAATTATTAAAAAAATCTAAAATAAATTAATTTGAAGATGTATATGTGAACCGACGTCAAAGATTATTCATATATATGAGTTCACATATGCATCTTCAAATGCAGTTTTTTCAGTGATTTACATATGAATCTTTCTTTCTTGCGTTCTCATGATATTTAGCTTTGTTCTTCGAACATCGACTATGATGTTAAATATATTTAATATAATTTAGATTATAAAAAAAGGTGAATTTGTTTTTATTTGCCTTTGGCGTGTAGGTCAGTTGGCTCAATGAATAAGGAGATGTTTGCTCAAAAAGTCGTTGGTCTCAGGTTCGAGTCTAGGCCACCTCATGCGCCTTGTTGTAGGGCAAGTCTTACATAACCCACTCACACTGAATTCCTTAGGAGTCGGGTGTCGTGTAATAACGGTTATAGTTGCTAATACTCAGCATTTTGCTCAAAAAAATCTATTTTTATTTAAAAGAAACAAAAGCTAATTAAAAAGCCAATTCTTTTGTTTCAACTCAATTTTACTCTTAGGGGTCGTTTACCAAACGCTTACTCGGGTAAGCGTTTACCAAGTCACATTATCTAACCGAATAAATATAGTAAGGATCTAAAATCTTACCCGGTAAGAACGAGACAAGAACCAAGAATCTTACTCGGTAAGTGAGAGCAACGACTCTTACCACGGTAAGCAATTACCGAATAAATTGTTGCATGCGATGTCGTTTTGGTGGACTAAATTCTTACCCAATAAGTAAATAATAGTGCTAAATTTTACTGGTAAGCATTTATCAGGTAAGTATTTAATAAACAACCACTTAATCTATTTAATTAATGCATACCCTTTTATCAAGTTATCTTATTAATTATAAAAATACCACCTCTAAGATGTAGCATTGGTTAAACATTTATTTTGCATGGATTTTATGATTAAAAAACAAAAGAATACTTAGATTTCTTGATGCTCTTGCTTTTGTATATTGGGTGCATGGTCTAATGGACCATGAGAGAAGAGAATTGGGACATGATTCATACAATTGCTTTTTTAGCTTTGAATGGGATTCCACCTCATTAATTAGTCTTATTTAAAAAATATTTTTATTAAATAATATATAATAATAAATAAAATCATTTAATTCTATTTTTATATCAAGTTATACAATTTTATTTTGTTGTAACTATGATATGTGTTATATACATATCTTAAAATACAAAAACAAATTTTAAGTAAAGGTTTAAATGTCAACTTTAATGCATGTATTTATCTGATTTGTTGATATGTATATGGTTGTGCTTTTTATGTCAGTTTTTTGAATATCCTTAAGATATGACGTAGACTCTTTTTGCTCCAACTGCAGACAATAAAGAAAGTAAGATACTAATATTATAGTGCTTTAAAACTTATTTTTGCTGACACGCAAAACATGTTCTCATACCAATGTGTTGGTGGGAATTGGTGAGACAAACTTGCCGAATAAGTTTGTACTCCAAATCGGCTTGTCGGACAATAATTCTTGCTGGTGGGTAGAACCAAGACTCATTTTAGTCAGGAGCTTACTTTAACAACTTATTTAGCTACTTTAGGTCGTTGTAGTTCATAAATAAACCATTTTTTCCTTCGATGACAGAGATTGAATATCAAGTTTACGACTTATTACTAAGTACGTAAAATATTGAGTGTTTTGGTTATTTATGTATTGATATAATATCGATGTGGCATTGTAATATGTAGTATTCTCAAATCTTGAAATGTTATTGTTCTGGTTATCCCACAATGACGAGCAGGTGATAGGTTAAAAGAAAATTATGGGTATATAAAAGGTTGATGAGATTCTGCTATAGAAGAAGGTGATTGAGTAGAAAATGTTGTAAATGTTACTACTTGCGATATGTCGCACTTTTGCAATATGAAGTGCTACAACTTGCGTTATATTGCATTTTTGACGAAGGTGTTGGAGACTACAAACCGAATACAAGGGGCTGGGTAAATATATTTCTTTTTGGTCAGTTCATTCTTTGTGAAAAACAAATAAACTATTTTATAAAAGATTAATTGATATGTTTATATATATATATAAAAATAACAATCATATAAAGTGAGTTGGGACAATGGGTTGTGTGTGTTTTCAGATACAGGATTGTGGTGTTAGAATGGTTATCCACATCAGTGAGAAAATTATTAATATAAATGGTGGTAGGTATAAAAACAAAGAGACAATGTTTTTATTAAATTATGGTTTGAATCACACATTAAATGAGGGAATGAAATAGAAAAGAGGAAGGTGGGTATATTAAAGGACTGACAATAAAACAAATATATCTTTAGAAAGAGGGATGTGACACTTCAAAATGAGGTAAATAAATAAATTAGAAAACAAAAAGAACAAGGAAAATAAAATAAAATGGGTTTTATTTTATTGGAAAAAATATATATAAATATATTTGAAAATTGGATTAAACATGAAGGAAAATGTCATATTAGGGGTGAAATGTGTAAAGATGCCAAAAGTAATATAGCCAGGGGGCCGAATGCTATTTTATAATAGTTCAGGGTTGGGTCAGATGTAAGCAGGTCCAAATCAGAAGGACCTGTTTTGTAAATATGCATCAGACCTGCATTNTGCATCAGACCTGCATTTGAAGGATCTGTTTTATAAATATGCATCAGACCTGCAATTCAAAAGGACCTGTTTTGTAAATATGCATCAGACCTGCAATTCAGAAGGACCTGTTTTGTAAATATGCATCAGACCTGCAAATTCAGAAGTACGAAAACGACCTCTCCTTTGAAGCTCCCTATTGGTCTGAATATTCAACTATTACGACAAAAATTTCAATAAACATATAGACTACACTTTGCTCTCCATTCTTGCTTCAAGAAAACCAAACTTTCGTTGAGAGTCGAGGGAGAAATCGGAGGGTGAAGTTCGGGTTCGAAAAGCTCCATTTATTGACGATTGGAGGTAAAATACTCAACCAAATTTCGAGTTCTTTATATGGATGGTTTCGTTTTTAGGTCCTCTATAAAACCTTAGTAGCCTTATGTCTCATATTTTAGTTTTTGAATGTTCGATTTTGAAGTTTTAAGAAAAGGAGTTTTATACTTAGAATCTTTTTATGAAAAACATACCAGAGAAGCTCTGGTTGACTTTCACGTTGAATCAGAAGGGCTCTAGTTGGTCATGTCTTTGGAACCAGAAGCTCTGGTTAGTAGAACCAGAGGCTCTGGTCGAACATGAACTTTTTATAATTGCTTGTTTTATGAAAAAGGCTATCTTATTGGTTGAAGGTTTATCTAAAGACCATTTTTGAGAAATTATATGAGTCATAAGTGCTAGTTAGTACAACTAGAGGCTCTGGTCATGAAGACCAGAAGCTCTGGAAGAAAGACCAGAGGGGCTCTGGTCCTGGATGTTGAATTATTTTCTAAGTATGGTTTGGAACCAAAGGCTCTGGTCGTGAAACCATAAGCTCTGGAAGAGAGACCAGAGGGGCTCTGGTCCTTGATGTTGAATTATTTTCTAAGTATGGTATACAACCAGAGGGGCTCTGGTCAATACAACCAGAGGGGCTCTGGTCCTAAAGGACTTAAAGAGTCCAGAGGCTCTGGTCAATACAACCAGAGGCTCTGGTCATCCATAGAGGCTCTGGTGTTCTTCCAGACTTAGTCGTTTTAGCACAGCGGCATCTTCAAAAGTTCCATCCTTATCCCCGATGGCTTAATAAAACTTTTTTTAGAATAATTAGGATCAATTTGATTCTAACAATATATATATATATATATATATATATATATATATATCTATACTACATATATAAGCATTTAGACCATTATCTTAATTACAACTCTTGAAGCATATATTACAACCATTTTATGCAAGAAATTCAAAAAACTCTTAATTACAAATCACTAAGCACAATGTACAACCATTTTATACATAAAGTTCAAAAAATCCATGACAGTCCAACACTAACACCACCAAAGTTGAAACTTTCAGTTTCACTTTTTTAGTTGAAGCTTTTTTCATCCTCTCTTTATAGCTTTCTTCTACCCATTTAGTAACTTCAAACCATTCTTTCTTKCTTTTTGTTTCTTCCTTCCCTRTTTACAGCTCTCACCTGAAAATTGTTTCAACTTTTCTTTATTGTGAACAACACATCACTCGAGGTCTGTATTTGGTGGGTTGGTCAAGAAACCAGTAGAGACAAAACATACCTGTATAAAAGSGTGTGGCATCCCCCCTCTTTCTCTCAATCACATTCGTATGGTGAGCTTCCTCACCGCAATTACCCCAACCCTTCCYGGCAGCCACTCTTCCGTTTTCCGGCTACACTTGCAACGCCATTCATGGTAAAAGAGACGCCTCCAAACCTTTTGGTGAACATCACCAAACCTTCATCGAACTAACATCAGCAACACCCATATCCCCTCATCTCTCTCCCTTTCAACCCCCTACTCGGTTGTACCCCATCAACCCCTTCATCCCTCGTCAATGGTTGTTGCCATGACGAAAGTGGTAGTTAAACATCTACCTAAAACATCTGTACAAATGAGAACATAGAATCCATTTCAAAAAACCCAGCTT